AAGGACAGAACCATATGCCAGGAAACAGAAAAAAAAAACAGACGATATGAACTTTTTTCCCTTTGACAGCTCTCCAACAGCGATACGCACACATACCTGAAAAAGAAGAAAAAAAAATAATATATATACGTATAGGCACAGATGTACATACTCACACACACTTCTGCATATATGTATATGTATATGTATATATATGTATAATGTATGTATATAATATATATATATATATTATATATATATATATATATATATATATATATATATATATATATATATACGTATGTATGTATGTATGTATGTATATATAAATATGTGTGCGTGTGTGTGTGTGTGTGTGTGTGTGTGTGTGTATGTATATATATATATATATATATATATATATATATATATATATATATATATATATATATATATATATATATATATATACATATATATATAATATATATATATATATATATATATATATATATATATATATGTAAGTATATATAATATATATATATATATATATATATATATATATGTGTGTGCGTGTGTGTGTGTATACATATATATGTATGTATCGATCTATCTATCTATCTATCTATTTATTTATTAATTAATTAATTTATTTATTTATCTATCTATCTATCTATATCAACCTCAAAAGAAAAAAAAAAAACAGTATAATATATGAAATAAAATTTTTACAAAATCACAACACTTGAGGCTGCCAGCGCAACGAGGTCTGAATTGAGCGACAACAAACAGCGAGAAAGACTTCGCATTGGATTAAAGAGCAACTTCACAAAGGCAAGTACGCCGTGTATTTGGGTAAACATCCTCCCTTCCATTTTTTACCCGAGGAATACGGAGTTTAAGTTTGGGTAACGGCTGGGACGCGGCCATATTTGCATACGCTGGCGCTGCTGAACATACCATGTGCGTTTGGAGGGGGAGGGGGAAGGAGGGAGGTGGAGGGGAGAGGAGATGGAGGGGGAGGAAGGGGAGGGAGGGGAGGGAGAGGGGAGAGGGGAGGGGGAGGGAGAGGAGGAGGAGGGAGGGAGAGGATGGGATGGAGGGAGGAGATGGAAGGGATGAGGGGGAGGGAGAGGGAAGGGATTGGATGGAGGGGGGAAGAAGGGAAAAGAGAGAGAGAGACAGAGACAGACAGAGACAGACAGACAGACACAGACAGAAAAAAAGAAAGAAAGAAAGAGACAACCACACGAGAGACCCACACCCAAACACCCACCCAAACAAAACAAAACAAAACACCACCATCAAAAGAATACCCGACACCGAGAAGCCCGAAACACAGACCCAGCCCCAGACCCGAAAACACCGAGCCATGACGCCGCCAAATCCGCAAACCACACCAGATCCCGACGACAACGCCGAGGACAACGGGACAGACCCCTTTCGAGACACAACGGCACTGCGGAACGGACCCCCTGGCATCTTTCTCCCGGGCCCGAAGCGTTCCCTGAGGAGAGAGAATGGGAGAAAGAGGGAGAGGAAAGAGAAAAACCCAAAGGAGAGAGAATGGGAGAAGGAGGGAGAGGAAAGAAAGAAAAGCCTAAGGAGAGAGGTTGGGAGAAAGAAGGAGAGAAAAGAAAGAAAAGCCTAAGGAGAGAGAACGAGAGAAAGAGGGAGAGAAAAGGAAGAAAACCCTAAGGAGAGAGAACGAGAGAAAGAAGGAGAGAAAGGAAAGAAAACCCTAAGAAGAGAGAACGAGAGAAAGAGGGAGAGAAAAGAAAGAAAACCCTAAGGAGAGAGAACGAGAGAAAGAGAGAGAGAAAAGGAAGAAAATCCTAAGGAGAGAGAACGGGAGAAAGAAGGAGAGGAAAGAGAGAAAAGCCTATGGAGAGAGAATGGGAGAAAGAGGGAGAGAAAGGAAAGAAAATCCTAAGGAGAGAGAACGAGAGAACGAGAGAAAGAGGGAGAGAAAAGGAAGAAAACCCTAAGAGAGAACGAGAGAAAGAGGGAGAGAAAAGAAAGAAAAATCTAAGGAGAGAGAACGAGAGAAAGAAGGAGAGAAAAGGAAGAAAAACCCTAAGGAGAGAGAACGAGAGAAAGAGGGAGAGAAAAGAAAGAAAAGCCTAAGGAGAGAGAACGAGAGAAAGAGGGAGAAAAGGAAGAGAAAATCCTAAGGAGAGAGAATGGGAGAAAGAGGGAGAGAAAAGAAAGAAAAGCCGAAGAGAAGAGGAAATGGGAGAAAGAGGGGAGAAAAGAAAAGAAAAGCCTAAGGAGAGAGAACGAGAAAGAAAGAGGGAGAGAAAAGGTAAGAAACCCTAAGGAGAGAGAACGAGAGAAAGAAGGAAGAGAAAAGAAAGAAAAGCCTAAAGGAGAGAAGAATGGGAGAAAGAGGGAGAGAAAAAGAAGAGAAACCCTAAAGGAGAGAGAATAAGGAGAGAGAAGAGAAAGAGAGAAAAGGAAAGAAAACCTAAGGAGAGAGATGGAGAAGAAAGAAGAGGATAAGGAGATAACGAGAGAACGAGAGAAAGAGGGAGAGAAAAGGAAGAAAACCGTAAGGAAAGATAACGAGAGAACGAGAGAAAGAGGGAGAGAAAAGGAAGAAAACCCTAAGCGAGAACGAGAGAAAGAGGAGAAGAAAAAAGAAACCCTGAGGAGAGAGAATGGGAGAAAGAGGGAGAGAAAAGGAAGAAAACCCAAAGAGAGAAACGAGAGAAGAGAACGAGATAAGAAGAAAGAAAACCCTAAGGAGAGAGAACGAGAGAAAGAGGGAGAGAAAAGAAAGAAAACCGTAAGGAGAGAGAACGAGAGAAAGAAGGAGAGAAAAGAAAGAAAACCCTAAGGAGAGAGAACGAAAGAAAGAAGGAAAGAAAAGAAAGGAAAACCCTAAGGAGAGGGAACGAGAGAAAGAGAGAGAGAAAAGGAAGAAAAGCCTAAGGAGAGAGAACGAGAGAAAGAGGGAGAGAAAAACCCTAAGGAGAGAGAATGGGAGAAAGAGGGAGAGGAAAGGAAGAAAACCCTAAGGAGAGAGAATGGGAGAAAGAGGGAGAGAAAAGAAAGAAAACCCGAAGGAGAGAACGAGAGAAAGAAGGAGAGAAAAGAAAGAAAACCCTAAGTAGAGAGAATGGGAGAAAGAGGGAGAGAAAGGAAAGAAAACAGTAAGGAGAGAGAACGAGAGAATGAGGGAGAGAAAAGAAAGAAAAGCCTAAGGAGAGAGAACGAGAGAAAGAGGGAGAGAAAGGAAAGAAAAGCCTAAGGAGAGAGAATGGGAGAAAGAGGGAGAGAAAAGGAAGAAAACCGTAAGGAAAGATAACGAGAGAACGAGAGAAAGAGGGAGAGAAATAGGAAGAAAACCGTAGGGGGGGGGAGGAAAGATAACGAGAGAACGAGAGAAAGAGGGAGAGAAAAGGAAGAAAACCGTAAGGAAAGATAACGAGAGAACGAGAGAAAGAGGGAGAGAAAAGGAAGAAAACCGTAAGGAAAGATAACGAGAGAACGAGAGAAAGAGGGAGGAAAAGGAAGAAAACCGCTAAGCGAGAACGAGAGAAAGAGGGGAGAGAAAAGAAAGAAAAACCCTGAGGGAGGAGAGAATGGGAGAAAGAGGGAGAGAAAAGGAAGAAAACCCAAAGAGAGAACGAGAGAGAGAACGAGATAAAAGAAAGAAAACCCTAAGGAGAGAGAACGAGAGAAAGAGGGAGAGAAAGGAAAGAAAACCGTAAGAGAGAAGAAAAGCGAAAGAGAAAGAAGGAGAGAATAAGAGAAGAAAAACCTAAGGAGAGAGAATATTCGAAAGAAAGAAGGAAAGAAAAAGAAAGAAACGCCTAGAGGAAGAAGGGAACGAGAGAAAGAGAAGAGAAGAAAAGGAGAAAAGCTGGTAAGGAGAGAGAACGAGAGAAAGAGGGAGAGAAAAATCCTAAGGAGAGAGAATGGGAGAAAGAGGGAGAGGAAAGGAAGAAAACCCTAAGGAAGGGAGAGGAAAAAAATTTGGGGGGAAAGAAAAAGAAAAAAGGGGGAAAGAAAGGGAAAAAAGAAAAAAAGGAAAAAATCCCAGCTATAGGAGAGAGAACGAGAGAAAGAGAGAAAGAAAAGGAAGAAACCCTAAGTAGAGAACGGAGAGAGAGAAGCGAGGAAAAGAAAAGAAAAGCCCTAAAGGAGCAGAGAACGAGAGAAAGAGGGAGAGAAAAGGAAAGAAAAGCCTTAAGGAGAGAAGAACGAGAGTAAAGAAGGAGAGAAAAGGAAGAAAATGGAAACAATTACGGGAGGTTACAATTTAAGAGTGGAAAAAATTGTAAAGAAAAAAATAATAATAAAGTTAGAAATAAAGAGAAGGAAAAGTTAACAAAATGCTCGAGTTGGGCCGCTAGCTTTCGACACCTCTTCCTCCTCCCTCCTCCTCTTCTTCTATTTGCTCTTCTCCTTCCTCCTCCACTCCTCTTCTTCTTCCTTTCCCTAATCTCTTCCTTCTACCCCTTCTCCTCCTCCCCTCCTCCTTCTCCTTCCCCCTCCTCCTCCTCCCTCCTGCCTTCTCATTTTTTCCCGCCCCTCCTCCTTGCCGCCCTCCTCCTCCTCCTGCCTCCTTCCCTCCTCCTCCTCCTTCCTCTGCCTCCTCCTCCTCCTTCCTCCTCCCTCCTCCCTCTGCCTGCACTCGCCCTCGTCCTCCTGCCATCCTTCCTCCTTCCTCCTCGCTCCTCACTCCTCCTCCCTCTCCCCTCCCTAAGTCCCCAAGGAACCCAGTCCCGGCCGAAAAAGGAGTCCAAGGAGCCTCCCCCTCCTCCCTCCCGACCCCCTTTCCTCCTCCTATCCTCCTCCTCCTCCTCTCCCCTCGGCTCCTCCCTCCTTCCCCTCGCTCCTCCTCGCCTGGCCTCCTCCTCCTGCTTCGCTCCTCCTCCATCCCTCCGCCTCCTCCTCCTCCTCCTCCTCCTCCTCGCTCCTCCCTGCCTCCTCCTCCTCCTGCCTCCTCCTCCTCCTCGCCCCCTCCCTAAAGTCCCGCAAAGAAACCCAGTCCCGGCCGAAAAGAAGGGAAGTCCAGGAGCCTCTAAGCA